GAGGATAAACGGGTCTAGAGGTGGGTGACTTCGTACGATTCAGTTCTTTCCTTGTTTATCTCCGTGTCTGGAAGGAATTCTGATACGACCCTCAGCCAAAAGTCGTTTGCATTTTAATTTCTACACAGCATTTGTTTTAGCCTGAAATTTTTTGACTCTTTTTTTTTTTTTTTTCTTGCGCTGGGACTGCCCGGACGCTTGCCCAGGGCTCATGCATGACCGGGGGCCAAGTCCCACTTACCCGAATTGAAGCGGCGCGTACCGTGCCATCACCAGGAAATTTCGGAGAGACCTCACAAAAAATTGAACCAGGGCATACTCACATTAGCTACTACTCTTTAAGGATGAGGGATGTGTTTTTTTTTTGCTTTGATGGGGGTTGTGTTTTTTTGTTTTGGTTTTCCCAAAAGAACACCAATTCTTTACGTAATCCGTGATGAGAGACCGGGGACCTCGCAAAAAAACAGACCTGGAAGCAATACTGAGAGCAATACTGAGATTGCTCTCAGTATTGCTCTCAGTATTGCTTCCAGGGCCTTTTTTTTGAGAGGTCCCCGGTCTCTCGTCACGGATTACGTAAAGAATTGGTGTTCTTTTGGGAAAACCAAAACAAAAAAACACAACCCCCATCACAGCAAAAAAAAACACAATGCGACAAAGGGAAGGAAGAGTCCGTCATAAAATGACAGGAGGAGACGGTGCAAGAAAGAAGCAGGGACGGTGAATGGAACCGCAAATAGATGGGTTTGGGTTTGGGTTGGGAAGAGGGAGGAGGACCTTTTTCCCATCCCAACCCAAACCCTCCCCCCCAACAGCCCTCCACCCCGAGAATCAGACAAGCTCGACAGTGTCAAAAACCCTGATCGGGATGGGGCCGGAAAGGAAGCCTTCAACGTTGGAAAGGAAGCAAGGACGAAACGGAGAGGGGGGTGGGGGGCGAGGACCCCCCCCAACCAACAACAAACCCCGCCCCTACTAGCCTCTACCATGACCCTACATCCCCAAACAAACCACAAGCTCTGCGCAAAGCCGAGGATGAGGCTGAATGAAAAGGAGGTATGGACACAGCTGCGACGGGAGGGAGTGGGGGTACGCGGGCCAAGGACAGCCGCCACCACACCCATCATCTCACCCCCACCCCTCCTCCAGGGCTGTCCGTCCCTCCCCCCCCCCCCCCAAAAAAAAAAAAGGGGGACCCTCCGGAGGCGAGATGGGATGAAGGGGGACCAACGGCGATCCCGACCAGAAGTCTACAATCGGGCTGAACCGAGGTAACACCCTGCGGAGGCGAGATGGGATGAAGGGGGGGGCCAACGTCACAAGGCTTTTTTTTTTTTTTTTTTTTTTTTGGGGGGGGGGGGGGGGGGGAGGAGAACACAGCCCGTATCAAAGGAAAAAAAAAACACAATACGACAAAGGGAAGGAAGAGTCGGTGTAAAATGACAGGAGGAGATGGCGGGAGCAGCAGGGAAGGTGAATGGAACCGCAAAATGGATGAAGAGGGAGACCTGCAGGGGAAGAGAAATGGAAATGAGTGGAATAAGGGGGGGAATAGATGGAGAGGGAGGATATAAGGGTAAAAAAGAGGAGAGGGGGTTCCCAACCCTTAAGGGGGGTAGATAAATGGAGAGGTGAACGGCAAGAGAGGAGGGGGAGAGAGAGAAAAAGGAAGAGAGAGAGGAAGAAAGTATGGGGGGGGGGAGAGAGAGAAGGGGAGAGAAACGATGTTGGACGGATGGGGGAGGGAAGGGAAGGGCCGTGGAAGAAAGAGGAGGCACTGATTTTTTTCTCCGTTTGGAGTGAGGGGGGGGCCGGGGGGGGGAGGGGGAAGGGGAGAGAAACAGAGGAGCAGAGAAACAGGGAAACAGAAAAACGGAAAGACAGAGAGAGAGAGCCGGGTGCGAGGGGTAGGAG